GTGGTTGGTCAACCCATGGCCTTTGATTCCACTCAGTGGCACAAGCTGTATCCAAGGCTGTATCCAAGATGGGCAGTGGGGAGGAGGGCCCCTTCCTCCTTCCTGTGGGCATGAGGCCTGGTGTCTCAGAAGAGCCTCGGGCGGGGACAATCACAGATGGGGTTCCTTTGGCCGTGCAAGGCCACGCCAGCCAGACATCTTCCCTGGCTCTTGGCTTGTTTCTACACAACACAAATTTTGACAGGAATCCTGGAGCTGGGTGGTTCTGCCTGACGATCTTTCATGAAGTGGGCCTCATCTCTGAGCCTGAGAAGTCCTGTCTCCTGGTCCCATCCCTCAGTCTCTTGAGGCAGTAACTTCAAGCTTTCATAATCCAAGCTATGTCCCTGGTCTTGTCTCTTTGTCTGGTGGAAAAAGCTAGGATCTGGGGTATCTTTTCTCGTCATCTCCTCCATTGCGCTTGGCTTTCCGCCTCCACACCACTGATCCGTAGTTTCGAGCAGGGCTTAACAGACCACTGGCTTGCTGGCCAAAGGCCTGCTTTTTTGTGGCCCAAGAGCTGAGAATGCTTTGTCGTTTTTGAAGAGTTGTAAAAAAAACATGTCAAGAAGTATGTGCAGCAAAGACTTTGTGTGGCCTGGAACACGGAAACGATTTACTGTCTGCCCCTTTGCAGGCAAAGTGTGCCGCTTCCCGGGTTAGACTTCGAGTCGTCCGTCACTGCGCATCCCTGAATCACCGGATTCCCCCGTCAGTTTGGATTGCAGGCTTCAGACAGAAAGAATCTCAGGAAAGCCGTGTTTTCTTCCACTCTTGCCATCGGGTGAACCATCTCTGGCTCAAGGCTTTTTCTTTTCTTACGTTTTGTTTATGTTTTACATTTATTTTGAGAAATAGTGGTGGGAGGGAGAGAGGCAGAGAGAAAGGGAGTCCGAATCTCAAGCGGGCTCTGTGCTGCCAGCAGAGAGCCCGATGTGGGGCCCGAACCCAGAAACTCTGAGATCATGATCTGATCTGATCATGATCTGATCATGATCGCTTAACCGACTGAGCCACGCAGGTGCCCCTCGATTGACTTTTTCTTGAAGGGGCTTCTCGACGGCTCTAGGAAGCTGAACACTGTAACAGCCTGAGAGGTTTCGACAACCCTTGCTGGTCCGACAGCATCCACAGGTACATGGTTGGTGTAAAACAGGGTTAAACGTTTGGTCCCGGCCCAGCCCAGTCCACCGCCTGATTTTGCAAACAGGGTAACGCTGGCACACAGCCACGCCCACTGACTTACACATTGTTCGTGCCTGCTTTAACAGGCAGGGATGAGTGGTTGCCAAAGAGACCATACTGACCGCTAAGCCTGAAACAGTTGCTATCTGGCCCTTTACAGAGAAGCTTGCCAAAACCTGGTATAAAGCAAATGTTTTGTGATCACAGTTGCACGGGCCACCGCTTTCCAGCCTGGAATGGCGGGGCCTCACTGCCCTCTGCCCTGCCCCCTCCACTGGCCAGTTGCACATTTAGAGTGTTACTTGTAGTGCCCAAATTTAATCCCAGTCAGCGTCCTTAGCTGTAAGCAACGGGGACTCTGGCTGATTTAAACAGAACGGGAGCTCGGTGAAAGCAAACCGGTGAAGCACAGGCTTGGATGTATGCAGTCACATCCCCGTGATTGCCTCCGATTCTTCCATAGAACCGTCTGGTAAGGAAACCACTGCTGTCACCACAGGCTGGTGCTTTGCACCGAGAACTTGACCTTAGGAAGCCCGCTGCTCCACCGGAAAGCATCTGTGCTATCCCTACTCCTTTGGATTCAGAGCCTGGCACGGTGCGTCTGATCGATGGGCGAAGACTGTGTCAGGTGACCACACCCTCGCCGCAAGGGCAGCTGGGAAACAACAGGCATTTTCAGTATCTATAGTGGGAGGTAAGGTCTGCAAGCCACCAAAACTCAGAAGGAAGGAAATTCCCCAACAAAGGAAGGAAGTTCAAAGGCTGGGCAGTCAAAACCCAAGAGCAAATGCCTGCTGCATCCTATCAGGATCCAGTTCCCTATTTAGCCACAGCTAAGTTCGTGCTTCGCAAACTTTATTCACCCGTCTCTCCTCGGCCACATGCTCCTTGCTCATTGGCATATACGGCCTGGACTGTTACTTGCTGAACATTTTTCTTTAAAGCAACTAGTTTTTATGTGAATACATTTATTCAAAAGGAAACTCTAAGTTGAAAATCACCCTCGGCTGTCCTAAGTGACATAGATATGATTAAATTAAAAACAAGAATGCTGTTAAGTGTAGTGCAAACCGTTGTCGGGCAGAGGCTTTGAGCCTGAACACTGCTGTTTCCTAAGGAATAAAGGAGGCTAGTAACCGACGTATAGGTGTTAAAAAATTATCAGGACCGTAGCTGCTTGACATAATCAGAAAGCTAACAAGAGAACGGAGGAGACGGGAACTTCCTCCTATGTGATGTGATTCTAGGTACCACCTAAATGAGTTGGGTACCACTGGGGGTGTTTGCCTCGTCATGACAATATAAAAAAGCATACACTAAAATCTTTGCTGGTGCAAGGGAATTCACACGTACGCTCCGATCCTATCGGATTTCCTGAGTCTGCTCTTTCTGAGCCGGGTTTCCTCTTTCAGGCTGGCCGCATCAGACATCCCAATCCAACAGGAGATTAGAAACGTGTGTTTTTGTTTAGCCACGCCTGGGTGTGTGATCGGAAGCTTCCAGCCTCCGAGGAAGCCTGCCATGCCCCATACTCTCAACGCCCCTCTGACCACAATCCCCGCGCGAGCTTCTGCCACCGCAGCGACCCAGGAAGGCATTGTGCCATCCCGCACAGGTGGCCGGCAGGAGCCACATCTCTGCCAGGCGTCTGCAGTGTGCTAGTTACAGAGCATGTCGGGCTTTAAGGAGCTGAGGTTCCTAACTCCTCTCCCGTAGGGTAGGGGCTTTGGTTCGCCTTTTCTGGTCACTGCATTTCTTGCTCCCACCCCAAGGTCATGGCCCAGGACTTCTGCGGCCAACTGGACCCTCCCTGGGAGGCAAGGCCAGGTCACGTAAAACACACGGGCCTCAGAACCAGACAGGCCCGGGTTCCAATCCGACTCGGCAGTTAGTTGCTAAGAGGCTTCGGCAAGCAGCTTAGACCCTGTGAACCTCGTGTCCTGTTCTGCAAAATGGGAGTAATGCTTGGTCCACCTGGTCCCCCACCCGGCCAACATGCGTTGAGCACCTACTGTGTACCACACACTGGGCTGGGCACGGAGACACAGGACGTACCAGACTGAAAGGAGCTGACGTTGTAGTGGGGAGAAACAGATAAAAATTACACATTGGGATACAATCTGTGAAGGAAGCCGTGTGGCACGAAGACAGCAACTCGGGGTAGGTGAGGGCTGACCGTTGAAGCTGAGACCCGCGCTAGGAGAGCTGAGGGCAGACGGGGCCGAGCAGCAGAGCCGGCTGGGTTGTGGGGTCCCGTGAGATGGCGCACGTACCGGGCTTGGCACCGAGCGGGGGACCCTGAGTGCTTGCGGAGACACCCGGAACTCCGGTTTACGGAGCACGGTCACGGGAACTGTGTCATTTCGTTTGATTCCGTTGCAGCCCATCAGGCAGAGGAGGCAAACACCGTGCATTCGCTTTCATCGGTGGGGAAGGAACAAGAAGAACAGGGAAGTACAGCGAGGAGCCAAGCCATTTCCTTTGGTCTCTCCTCTCCCCAAGGCCACCTCCTTTGGGGCACCTGGGTGGCTCCGTCGGTTAAGCGTCTGACTTGGGCTCAGATCGAGACCTTGCAGTTTGGGGACTCTGTGCTGACAGCTCAGAGCCCGGAGCCTGCTTCAGATTCTGTCTCCCTCTCTCTCTGCCCCTCCCCCGC